AAGTCCAGCAGATATTGCCCCTTTCGTCCTTTACTGTACCACCAATTCCTGCAAAGCCCGGATTTCCTAAGGCACAACCGTCAAAGTTAAGGGTTATCACACCTTCACTGATGGATACGGGATGACTCAAGGGAGTTTGCTGAGGATGAGGCAGAAACAGAAAGGGGTGAATATTTCTGATAATATCATTGACTGAAAGTCCTTTAAATAGAGCTGAATTCACCGACCAAAGGATTCAAAGATAGGTAATATCTGAGATTAACTCCTCCAAGGTTCTGCTTTTATTGTCAAAGATATGGGTGGTTCTTTCATCCCAAACGCCCCACATTACTGCATGAGGCACTGATTGCCAAAAGACTCTACCCCTTTTGCTAAGCCCTATTCCTTGCCATTGATTCAAGTTGTCCATAATGTGTTTTGGAAAAGCCCAGCTGTACCCTGCCATATTCAAGAAGTGGGACCATATCCTTTGAGTGAAGCTGCAATGAAGAAGGATGTGATCTGCAGATTCACCCTTGCTGAGACATAAAATACAAACATGAGGAGAAATGGAGCGTCTTCCCAAAAGTTTTTTTTTGTAGGAGATCACAAGTATTAACTTTCTGGAGAATGAGAATTTAAAAATAAAATCAAGTATATAAAACATTTTCAAGCATATAAAACCCACAATCTCTTTTTTTCTCAATCGCATTACTTCAAGTAGCTAATGTGATGTGAAACATATTCTATGCACCAGGTGTGCACCTTTTGAAAGGGCTGCTCCTAGGAGGCTGGGACCTGGGCGAGGCACCTACCTTGAAATGTGCCTTGCCTGTGCGCCTAGGTGCACCTGCCTTTTAAATGACTGCGAATAATCTAAAATGCGCCTTGCTTGTGTGCCTAGGTGCGCCTTTTAAATCACTGGTTGTAATTGTCTAATCAGTTGTCGTCTCAGAGAGTTAAGAGAGTTTGCCTCATTTCGTGGTGTTCCATTGTACCTCCTTTTCTATGCTAATGAAATTGTTTTGTTATTGATCAAAAAAAGGATGAAGGAAATAAGGATAACACAACTTTTAATTTGGGTCCGGTGAATGAAGTGGAAGGTAACAACATTACATTGTACAAGAAGGTTGAATGGGGATGGCATTTGATGCTTGGACAGAGAAAAACCAGAAGCAAACCAAATTTATAGGCAAGGTGTTTTAAGGGAATTGTTCGAGATCTTCAAAGGCTTGTCAGAGAGTCTCCAGGTGGGGATAAGTGACAGAATAAAGGGAGTGATCAAAGAGTATTAATTGATATAGGAAGATTTTTACAACAAATCTCTAATGGTGGGGATAGTTATGCCAAACTAAATGAAGGACAGCAGAGCCTTTGGTCCTAGCAGCCGCTTCTACCCATCTATTGGATTCAAGTAGTCTTGTCATTTTGGTTTTGGATGCTACTTTTACTCTGTGTTTGAAAGTCTTATTCTAGGATCCCGAGATAGTTCAAGTTGCAAGCCCATGTTAGAAATGATCATGTCACTAATGTGAGGGAAGATGGAAGTGGAAAGAATGTGTTATTAGATGAGGAGGAGAAAGGAAAAATGATTTGGGAATTAATAGAGGTTCTGCTTGAAGAGTTAAGGTGGAAGGAATTAGGAGAAACTGAGAAAGTACTTTGAGAGAAAATGAGGAAGGAGGTAACATGAGAGAGAAGATGGTAGAAATTGGGGAAAATAGAGTCAAAGAGAGAAAATGTGCTAAGGATTGTAATAACAAAGATTCAACAGTAGTAGAATTTGTTGGGAAGCTTGGTTGTAGTTTAAAGAACCCGAATGATTTAAAGTCCTACTTGAGGAAAAATAAGGGTGAAGGAAAGGTGAGAGAGAGGAAACCTATAAAAGAAGGTGAGGAAGAGGAAATTGAGTGAAGTTGAAAGATTAAAGTTGGATGTTGAAGGACCAAGTGGAGATCTTGGATTAAATCTTGGATTAGAGGATGTCTAAGTTCTGTCCATACTGAAAGGAGAATATTGGCCTTATTCTCTGGACCTATCGGCATGGGCAACTCTCTAAAAGCTGAGTTAATGGAATTGCTACAAGGATTGAAGATAGCCAAGCAACTAGGAATGAGGCATATTTAGGTTGAAAGGGATTCCAAGGTGATCATCTCTTGGGCTAAAAACAATAGAACTACTCCGTGGACTTTCAAACAAGTGATAAAGGGAAATGGAAAAGGTTGCAAGGGAGGTAGAGGCAGAATTCAAATGGGTTAGGAGTGCAAATGGGCTAGCTGATTATCTTGTTGCTAATCAAGGGGCTTTGAGGCAATAGTTGTTTTGGGCTGCAATGTAAAAAGGGACAGAAATATGTAATAGTGTGGGACTTCTAGTCCTATACACAGTTGTAAAACTTTTTAACTTTAATTTCAAATAAAATTCTCCTTTAATGATAAAAAAAAGTTGGATGTTGAAGGAGATAAGGAATTTAGTGAGAGAAGGGAAAGGAGAAATTGGAAGATATAGGAAGAGAAGTAGTAAGAGAGCAAAAAAGAAGTTTTGAAAATCAAGATTATAAGTTCGAATTTTCAAGGTTTAGGAAGTGCTAGGAAAAGATCAATCATCGACAAGGTAATAAGGAAGGAACGTCCTATATAGTTTTCTTCAGGAAACCAAGTTGGCAAAATTTGATAGAAGGTGGGCTATAAGCCTATGGGGGGCTAAGGAGTTATTTGGGCAATGGTCCCATCTTTGGAGTGAACCTATTCCTCCCAGGATTGGAGGTTTTTGTTGATGAGTTTTCATGGAGAGAATAAATACCTCTGATTTGCTCCAATGAAAAAGGCGAAATTGGTGTTTATTTCCACACTATTCTGTTATTTACAAGGCCAATGGAGAAACTTGCTTTCACATATTAATCTCCTGCTCTTTTGTTAATTCTATTTGGGAATAGTTTTTCTCGTTGTTTGTGTCTAGGTGAACTCCCCCGCCAAATGTGCAAAGCTTGTTTGCCTCTACTTTCTTTAGTTGGTGAAAGAAAAGGGGAAGAACAATGTGGAGATGTCTAAGGACTGCTATGAGCTGGACCATCATGATTAGGGTGGTTCAGTGGGTTAAATCTTTGGAGCTCTTTGCTGAATTCTCAACAGATGACTTTATGAGAAGTTGGAAACAAGTGGTTTGCTCAGACCATCATAAGTCTGTTATAAGCTTCTTATGTTCTCCACCCGTTAGTGGCTACATTAACTTTAATTTTGATGGGAGCAGTGCAGGTAAACCAGATTCATCTGGCATTGGGGGTGTTGTTAGAAATGAGGAAGGGAGGATTATTGGTTTATTCTCAGACCCAATTGGAGTAGGGCATTCTTTAAGGTCTGATTATGCCTCTGTGGAGGGAGTGCAAAAGGCAAAGGGCATGAACATTAGTAAATTTATTATAGAAGGTGGTTTAAAGCTTATGGTGGGATGGCTTCAAAAGGAAGAAGCTGAACATTGGAACTGCAACAGGCCCATATGTATGTGGGACTTGTTAAAAGAACTGCCAATGCCTTTGCTGTCTCTCTAGCGAAACAAGGGGTGGGAAGAAACCAAATCTTTTGGGCTCGATTGTAACTTGCCAAAGCTTTTGAGGAGAGAGTCAAGAGAGTTTACCTCTCCACTTTTAGTTTTACTCATTGTACTCTGTTCTTAATGTTGTAATGAAATCTACCATTATTGATAAAAAAAGTAGGAACCAAATGTATTGGAGCATGACATCAAGTGGGGAGGAAGTGTAGTGGGTGGGGTGGGAGTTAGCTGAGGTTAACAGCCCAGAAAAGGGTGCAAGGCACCTAGATGTTGTACTTATTTCTCAAATTTTCAAATTTTAATAAAATGTTTACTGTTACAATTAAGAAAAGAACTAAAATTGACTTTGTTATTGTATTTCCTGATCAAAATTAATTGAAAATATCTTGTATGAAACTTGAACCTATGACTCCTTGGTAAAAAAAATACAACATTCAGACTAATTTACTAATTGGAGAATATTACTTTTAAGTATATAATCTCCTATATTTAAATCAAATCAAGTTGGATGGGGATAGATCAATGTTTGATCCAATTATACAGGTTGACTTCTCATCACTCTTTACTGGATTGAATTCAAATCTAAAACCATTTGTTTTTAGGGATTACAAATTTAAAACCATAGTATGAACTTCTCTGGGCTTGCCGCAAGGGACTTGGTACAAAGATAGCTCATAGAATCAAGAATGCAAAATGTTTAATATCACATTAGCTATTTGAAGTAATGCAATTGGGAAAAAATAATGAGATTGAGAGTTTTACATGCTTGAATATGTTTTATATGTTATGTTTGATTTTATTTTTAAAGTTTTCATTTTGAATATGTTTTTACATGTTATGTTTATGTATTTTAATTTTCGGTAATAGTTTTTTAAAGCTTTTTTTATTAAGTTTATATTTTTAATTATTTTTGCATTTTTGCACATTGCTTCAAAAAGCTGCACACCCCACCTTGTGCCCTGGGCCCAAAATGCCTCTTGAACTTTTAAAACACCGGTTCTGTGTAAGTTGTTTTATATCTAGGCCTCTTGTGCCCTGTGCCCACAATGGGAATTTCACCCAATCTACTTGTATCAATATAGGTGGTCCCATCTAGTTGAGAAATAGTTTAAGAATTGACAAAAAGATAGAACCATTTTCGTGTTATTCCCTGTCCTTATTGGCTCAATTTGTCCTGGTCACTTCTTGGCCCATTTAGTTTATATCTTTGTTGGTTCGTGTTTACTTTTATTACCATTTTTTAAGCGTATCTGGATGCACAAATTCACATAGTTACATCCTTCTGTTGTATGTTAGTTACTCTTGGGGAAGGAACTCATCCTTTTGGGCATTTGTAAAAGAAACCTGCTAGATGCGAAAAGAAATCAACAACTTTTATTAGATGTTGTAATCAGTATCCTTACATTCTAAATTAGGATGAGTGCACTTGCTTTTGATGGAATTAATTTTTTTAAATCTTTTATTCCCTGCAGGTTGTGGAACTTCTCATCCAAAAGTTGGAGAATGAGCCTAGTTTTCATCGTAGAGTGGACCTGTTCTTTCTTGTTGATTCTATTACACAATACTCACATAGTCATAAAGGTAGATGCATTTGCAAGTGTGAAGAAGCTCTTTATGTCTTAAATGTGTTCTTACCCAAGCAAAATTTTGGATGGATTGGACAGGTGTTATCTTGAATTAGGCTTGAGCCTAGGAGATCACAACCTGATCAGAGCTTGTATTGAGCTCAGTTTGAAGCTTTGGCTGGCTTATATTTCTGTGTAAATATACTAACAAAATTCATTGTTTAGTTTTGTGGGTTAGTGTGTGGAGTTGTTTTTAAAGGTTCACGGTTCATGTTGTGCCAGCCATAATCTAAGTATTGTTTTAAACTCAAAATGTTGTATGGCAAGCCAAACCTGGTCTAGACTGTTTGAATCTCAGTCAATCTGACCTTTGCAGCTGTGCTTGGGTTGAGAAGTTAGCTTCTTAGGTTGGATGTGCTTGAATTTGCCCTTCTAGAATCCAGACTTATTGGTCTTTGGCCTGAACCCATATCTGCCTTTTGATATCCATGAGCAATCTCCTCAGATGTTATGTAGGGGCCTTTTGATAACGGCTGACATCAATGAAGTATGGACTTAATAATTTATTGCTTTGTCTTTTAGTGGATAAAATAACCCATCATCATCAATAAATTATAGGCACTTTAATCATTTCTTATTTTTTCCACCCACGATTCTTTCAGACTGTACCTAGCTCTTCTAGGTCCTTCAACTTGTAACAGATCACTTTTTCTAAGAGGTGCTATAGTTGGTCTTCTATGCACATGACTAAACTATCTCAATCTACTTTCTCTCATTTTATCACCTTTGGAGGTACTCCTAGTTTCCTTCGTATGACTTCATTTCTAATCCTTTCCTTTCTACTTTTACCACATCCTTCTAAACATATGCATTTCGGCCAGTCATTTTTGGTGTGCTGTTTCTTAGCTGCCCAACACTGTGCTCCATACAACATAGGGTGTATTTTCAACTATTTTATATATATTTTTTTCTTTTAGTGGATAAAATAATTAAGGAATAAAATATTCAAGGGTGTACTTTCTAAAAAAATGAAAGGTGTAGTAATCAATTGAACTTAAGTTTCTGCTATTAAGGAGCTCTCAACCTCCTTAGAAGTTTATTCATTAATGCTCAGTTTGGAAAGAGTATAAATACACATGTACAGTGCATATACATACAAAATAATACATAATACAAGGTTTTGCACTCTACATATTTGTATTTGTACTCCTTCCAAACTGACAAAGCAATAATTCATTCGGTCCAGTCGCTTAAGCTGTTATCAAATGGCTCCTCAGCGAATTTTGGAATATTGTCAGCTTCCCTGGTTCATTTGTGAACTTGGATAAGTTTCTTTTATAAAGCCTCCTTTACACTCTGGTATCTTTATGCATTTTCAACCGTTCCAACCTTTCAAGCATAAGTTCTACTTTCATATATGTCTTTCCCTGGGGTTTGCATTATACTTGCAGAAAGCAGTATCCATTCAATAAATGATCTATTAAGCATCAACTGTTTTTTGTGGTTTCTTATCTTTTTAATCTTCGCCAGGAATTGTGGGAGCCTCGTACATTCCCACGGTACAAGCTGCACTGCCACGTTTATTGGGTGCTGCTGCTCCACCTGGTGCTGGTGCTCGTGAAAACCGTCGTCAATGTCTTAAGGTATTTTTGGGTCATAACACAGAAGAATGTCCTTATTTGGAAGTTTGTAATTAATGATCTCTTGCGTCAGGTTCTGCGACTATGGATTGAGCGGAAAATTCTTCCTGAATCACTTCTTCAGCATTTCATGAATGATATTGGTGGCTCAAATGATGATATAGCTGCTGGATATTTTCTTAGACGTCCATCTCGTGCTGAGCGTGCTGTAGATGATCCAATTAGAGAAATGGAAGGGATTCTTGTTGATGAGTATGGGAGGTGTGTAATCTTTTTCCATTGCTTGTTTAAAAAAACTTGGTTCTCTATCCTCCAATGATAACTGGCAGCAGGTATAAAAGATGAAATASTCTGAACCTGTTATTTTTTTTTCTTTTAAAATAATTGAACAAAACTTACATATAGAGATAGGAAGAAAGCAAAGGAGTTTGCAGATATTTCATTATTGGAGTTAAGGATGCCTTTGACATTTATTCTGCTTGACAAATCAAGTTGTGTACCTTTGATCTTTCTTTTTTACCGCTTTATATGAGCAATAAGAAACTTGAAAAAGTGATCAGAAAGGATCAAGAAGAGACATAACAGAGAGCAAGACCAAATCCCAAAACAGGCAAAAAATTAAAGATAAAAATAGAAGTTCCCCATCAATAATAACGATCCCTGGGAAATTAGTAGTCCAACCTCCCCAGTGATTTAATAGGCGCGCCTAGGCGCACAGGCGAGGCGCATTTTAGGGCCTAGGTGCAGCCCATTCAAAAGGTGCACACCTGGTGCGCCTAGGCATGCGCCAGGTGAGCCTTGTGCCTTAGCCCAAGCATGCACAAAGGCGGTTCGTAGAATTATGTATGTAATATGTCACATTAGCTACTTGAAGTAATGTAATAGAGAAAAAAAGAGATTGTGGGTTTTATATCCTTGAAAATGTTTTATATGTTTGATTTCATTTTTAAATTCTCATTTGAATATGCTTTACGTATTTTGTTTTTATTTTTATTAATATTATGTTTTATAAATTTTTGATTTTTTTTGAATGTTTTTGCATTTTTTGAATTTTTTTGCATTTTTTGAATTTTTTTTGAATTTTTAGCCTTTTTTTTTTTAAATTATGCACCTTGCCTCAAAAAGGCACGTGGCTCGCCTTGCGCCTTGTGCCTCAGGCGCAAAATGGCCCTTGCACCTTTTATGCGCCTTGTGCTTTTAAATCCTCAGCTATAGGGTTTTAGGTTGTGTTTGGTACCATTGCCACTTCTTGCAATGTTTAAGGTTGGTCAACTTCAATTTTTGAGAAAATGTCTTGTCACATCACACCAGATAACCACTTCCACTAAAAAAATATAGTCATAGGATTGGGTGTTGGCATTTATAGTAGAAACACCAAAGCATTTGTGGTAGAAAAAAAATATTCTCATAAAATTTGTATTGACCAACCTAAAACGTTGCAAGTAGAAGTGGCAATGGTACCAAAAACAGCCTTAATGCCTAGGGATTTATCTGAACAAGATGCTAGCCTCCCTAATCTGGTGCTGAGATATGCACTGGCTATGGGAACCTTCTATTGTTCTACATCCTTCCTGTCACAACCTTGGATTTTTTTGGTGATAAAAATTTTCATTAAAGAAAAGAAAAAATAGTGAAAATTACAAAAGTTAGTGATAAGGTATAACTTCTTACAAGGGAAAAAGATTACTGTTAAGTGAAGAGTGATCTAAGTAGGAAAATACAAAAACTGCTTACACCTGGACCCAGCAATACAAAACAAATAAAACAAGGTGCCTGAATTCAGCTGCCAAAGAACAAAAAATCTTTCTCAACAAGAAATGTGAAAATTACAAAACTCAGTGGTAAGGTATAACTACCTACAAGGTAAAAAAAGATCATTCTTTTAAGTGAAGAGTGATCTAACTAGGAAAATACAGAAACTACCGACACCTGGACCCAGCAATACAAA